TTGAAGCCACACAGCCAGAATTGGCAGGACAGTGATTTGCACGCTTGCTAGTTGGCTCTCTCGCTTCCACTCTGACTCAGCATGTTACCATCCATACACCCCACCATCATAGACACTTTTTTCTCTTTTCAGAAATTAAAGAATGATGCTTCTACACGCAATAAGAAAATAAGAAAAAATAAAAAGAAAAACTAGAAAAAGAAATTAAAGAAGGAAACAAAAAACATAACTTTATATTCTAGATAATCCTTGTTGGTATATATATTTTAATATGTATACAACCAAGGTCGGAAAATGAAAATGGTACAGAAATACAAAGTGAATAAAGTACAAAATGCAAAGTGAATGTTTCCCTCCTTATATTCTTCTAATATCACTTCAATTTACACCAACAGAATAAAAATAACACAGACTGTTAAATCTTTGACTTTTTTGCCCTTTTTTGGTGATCTTTATTTCTCATTCTTTTTAATGGCTGCAGTGTATTCTACTGTATGGATGCACCACAATCTGCCCTTAACTAACTCCCTTTTGATGAACTTTTGGATTTTTTTCCCCTATTACAAATCATACCGTTATGTGCAGTTTAGGATTATATCTGTTTATTATATTTCTAATGGTAGGATTGCTGGGTCAAAGAAAGCTTACATTTAATTTTAAAAGATATTACCAAAATGCCAGAGAGAGTGCGCTATACATATTCCCATCAACTGCATTTGTGGTACCCATTTCCCCATGTCCTTGCCAAGACAATATGTTAACAGACGTTTGATCTTTACCAATCTGATAGTTGAAAAATTGCATTTCATTGTGGTTTTAACTTGTATTTCTCTTATGAGTTGAACTCTTTCAATGTTTACAGGCTATGCATTTCTTTTTATAGAGGATACTTGTTTACATCCTTTTGCTTGCTTTGGGTTGTTAGCATTATTCTTACTGATTTGTAGGAATTCTTGGCAAATTAAGGAAATTAGACCTTTGTCATATATATTACAGATGTGTTCTTCTAGGCTTTGGTGGTCTTTTTATTTTGTCACAGTGTTTTAAAACATTCATAACCAATAAATTTGACTATATAAAAATTCTTTCCATTATCCTAAGTGAAATAAGCCAGACACGAAAGGACAAATACTATATGAGTACGCTTACATGAGCTACCTAGAATAGTCAAATCCACAGACAAATGCAATAGAAGTTACCAGAGGCTGTGCGGAGGGGGAAGTGGGAGTTATTGTCCAATGGGTGCAGAGTCTCAGTTTGGGAGGATGAAAAAGCTCTAGAGATGGATAGAGGTGATGGTTGCACAACCATGTAAAGGTACTTAATGCTGCTAATCTGTACACATAAGAATGGTTAAAATGGTAAATTTTTAAATGTATATTGTAGCACAATAAAAAATTAGGTCTTTCAAAGATCCTGGGCTTTGCATCTGCTTAGAAAAACTTTCCATACTTTTAAGATTATAGAGAATTCCTTTTATTCTTCTAGAATTGTTAATTTGGATTTGGTAGAAAGTGCTGCTCTAGGATGAAGGTATGAGGTGCAGAGGCTTCTGCAACAGACAGAGGAAGAGGTGCCAAGGATCTGAACTAAGGTGATAAAGCAGAAGAAACAGGTTTCTCTGGCTGAGATGGTAGGATTTGGCTTTCCACTGACATACACTTGATGCATGGCAGTACATGAATGTTTGTTAAATGGGGGTGAGGAAGAAACAATCAGCAAAGAGATTTCTAACCTGGCAGCATGCACAATAATACTATTAAATACTATTTAATATTAATATTTACTGAAGGAGGAAGATCAGGTGGGTGGAATAGGGTGTATTCCATTTTAGATGTGCTAATAGTTTTAGGTGCAGGTCAGCTACGTGGCAGCCAGGAGGCAGTCAAAAGGCAGATCTGACGTGGGAAAGAATTAAGGGGGACAAATCTGGTTTAGAACTCAGCCAGCCAAGATGATTGCTGAAGCTATGGGATTGTGTGGGAGAGGGAAGAGCTAGAACCTTGAAGAATTTCAGTGTTTAAGCGGGATGAAGAGGAAATATAGCCAGAGAAGCAAATAATCTGTATAGGAGATGGCACTTGATGTGGGCCTGAAGGAAGGGGGTTGACAATGGTAGACTGGAGGGTGGGGTAGTGGAGGTGGTGGAGGAAGTGTTCCAAGTGGAAATAACAACATGAAGAAATAGGTAGGAGGATAACACTCCACCAAAGAAACCATTCAGTAACCAGACATTAAAAGAATTTGCTGTAAAAGAACTGGAATTTTCAGGAATGGGCCAGTCAACATTGTCACTGTGGAAGAGGAGATGAAGACCAAGAAAAAGCCATTTCTTCTAGGGTTACTGTGACTATTGATATTTGGTTGCTTGGGTATTAAAAGAGTCTAACAGCCTTTGATCTACTTTGCGTAAGCTCCAGCCAAAGATATCTGGTAACCTTGGAGTGTCTCAGGTTTCTACACATCATCAGTGGTCACCTAACCTAGATTTAGATTATGGTGTTCCAGTTTTCTCTGTTAGGACACATCTTTGTGCTATGTTCATATCAGGTGGTTTTTAGGTCTACTATCATCATTACTGTTTGTTGTATTTGTTTTTAGCTTTTTTTTTTTAATGAGAAATTGGATGAGATCATGTTTCTGGGGAAAATAGATAATGGTAGCGATGCCATGACCACGGCTCAATTGTCATACTGCAAATATGTGTCCTAAGAGTGGCAAGAAAACAGTTTAAGCTAAGTTTGAGTTTTTCTTTCCCCAAAGATCCCTTACTTGGTTTCAGATTCGCAATTTGGTTGATATTGAAAAGACATATAATGTTTAAAAAATGACGAACAACTTTTTAAAAAGTTTCAGAGGCCAGGCCTGGTAGCTCATGCCTGTAATCCCAGTACTCTGGGAGGCTGAGGTGGGAGGATTGCTTGAGGCCAGGAGTTCAAAACCAGCCCGGGCAATAGCGAGACCCTGTCTCTGTGGGGGAAAAAAAAAATTAGCCGGGCATAGTGGAACATGCCTGTAGTCCTAGCTACTTGGGAGGCTGAGGTGGAAGGATCGCTTGAGCCCAGGAATTTGAGGTTACAGTGAGCTATGACGACACCATGGCATTCTACCCGAGGTGACAGAGTGAGACTTCAAAAGAAAAAATTTTCCATTTTTTACCCATCAGACTGGCAAAAGTCTAAGAGGTCTGAGAATTGGGGCAATGGTGTGGGGAGGCAGGAATTCTCTACACTGATGGTGAAAGTTAATTGCTACCATCTCTTTGGAAGGTACCTGACAATATTTGCCAAATGTACTTACCCTCTGACCAAGCAATTCTGGACAAGGTAATTCATTGCAGCATAATCTGTGGTGGCAAAAGACGGCAATGACCTAAAATGTTCACGAGTAGAAACTGGTTAAATAATTTTGGCATATCTTCACCATGAATACTTCAGTCATTCATGCCTGTTTATGCATAGTCACTCTGGAACTATATACTAGAAACTGGTAACATTGGTGGCCTCTGGGAGGGGACTGGGCTGGGGGGACAGGGATGGCAGGGACTTTTCACTTACCTTTCATACCTTATGAATTATTACTTATCTCTACCTCCCCTCAACTGATGCAAAAAAAAAAGGGGGGGTTTTCTGGTGGTAGAGAGAGTACCAATAGTTTTTAACACATAGGAAACTTGAGATAAATGCTAACCAAAGAGTCATCCAGTCATTATGGGCATTATTTAGAGAAAGGTTAAGAGTTGAAGGCCATATGATCTTTCCCATCCACCTTTTCTCTCCACAAGGAAAAAGGATGGGATGGGTAGGAGCAAGACAGCACAAAGGAATCATGAAACCAAGAAACTTGTCAGATCGACACTTTATTGTGGCTTGCTTGTAGTAAAACGTCCCACCCCTCGACATGGATGCTGTCTTGGTGGTGGTTTTTGCTGGAGACCACAGTGTGATGCTCAAAGGCCTTTATAGCCTCGTCTTATGTCAGTCTAGTCAATGGTTGCCTATTTGGTACTTCAATTAGTTAGAGGAAAAAGCCAGGAAAAGCTGGTCTTAACATCCCTAATTAAGATTTGTGACCCATTAGTATAAAGTGCTTATGCTCAGTGCAAAAAGGACAGATTCAGAAGGGCAAGCAGATGCCAGGGAATGACATTTCCTGGAGGATGGACGCGTCCTATGACTCAAGGAAGGAAAAGCTAACTTCAGTCCAAAGGGATCTAGTATTTTCCTTACAGTCTTTCTCCTCTCTAATAGGACCAAACTTTTAATCTGACAGACGTCCATAACAGTTATTTATTTTACTATTAAGAAACTTGGTTCTGAAGGAAATCCACAAGGTTTCTAAGCACCAGATACTGACTTTAGCTTCTAGTTTCTGTTTGACTCAGCATCAAAGGTGAGAGCAACAGGCTGAGCTCTGGCTGGTGCGAGGCTCAGAGCTGCAGAGCTTTTCTTTAGGCTTCTCATTTGCAAATCCAAGTCACTGAGTATGACAGACCCTTTCCCAAACATTGTCACATTTCGGTGGGAGGACAAGCCAGTGCATATTAAAAAGCACTTCACTTAGTTTTCCACCAACTGGACGTGACATTCCTTATCCCCTTGTTCTGACGCTTGTCCATAGGCCCAACTGTGAAGCCTACCCCTGACTCCCTCTGTTAAGACAGAGAAAAGAAGTGCACTGACTTCTCAATGGCCCCAGGTCTCTGCATATCTATCCTGTGGTCCTGAAGGGACTGAAAGGAAGCAGGAGAGAAGAGGAAGTAGTTTCCTAACCAATTCAAGGGGCACAAACAGGACTGGAACTCAAATAGGTAAAGTCTAGACATTCAGTCCTAGCATCCTGGCTACCATATCTCTTCCCAGAGTCTTAAAGAGGGAGGCACATTCTCTTACCCACCAACTCTGCAGTAGGGACATTCATGAGAGCCAGCTCTGTGCTTGTGAGCAAACCCCCCGTATCGCTTTTGGATGGTTTGCCATTCTCACAAATGTGATGGGGATGCTCCCGCCTATGCGTCAGCCTCCCAGACCTGATCGCAGGTATACGCATCCACAGCTTTCGGATGCCAGCACCTGAAAACACTTCTATTCAGACTACCTTCCAAAGACCCATGTTGACTTCTTGTGCTTGGGAGAGGAGACACCGGGAAAATAATTTTATTCCACAGGTAGCACTTGTCTCAAAACCATCTCTGAATTTCGGGAAGGGAAAAGAGGCGATCCTTTTGGTGTTGCTCTCTAATTTTCTGTAAAACTCCACCAGTTAAGAGGAGCTACTACAGCATGCCCACATGGAGGGGACTGTGTACAAACAGGAGGACCCGGGTCAAGAGCCAAAACGCAGGGAAGGTTTCCAGAGTGGCAGGAGTCTAAAGTAAAGTGCCTCTTTTCAAGGGAGGAGAGTTTCATTTGTTCAGAAATGCTTGGGTGTAAACGTCAGTGCACAGGAGCATGCATGTGTGTGCACGAGTGTGTACACACACTCACTCACTCTGAGGTAGAAAGAACTGGACATCTCCAGACGAACACACACAGATACACACGGATTCCACAATTTTACAGAAACATGGCACTTGTGTGAAAGGTCCTGTCCTTGCCTGAGGAGGCAAGTAGGGTCCAATCCAGCTCTTTCCAACCCGGGGCAGAGCCAGAGAAGTCCCACTCCACAGGAGGAAAGAGGCGAAGGGCACCACCATCATCGCTGCCGCCACAGTTCTCAGGCCACATTTCCCTGGCCCGGCTGCCCAGGGTCACTTCCTGGAGCCTGAGCTGTGGGCACCCCGGGGGTGGCTTGTCAGAAGCCACTGGGCACAAATGTCTTGCACAACTGCATCCCCACTGCTCTTGGCGGCCTGCTGCACCTGCTGGACGAGGGCCATGGCCCGAGAGTGTTCTTGCTTCACAGCAATCAGGTAGGCAGAACGCAGTTTGCAACATGTCAGGTAGGCCCGAACCTGGCAGTCAGATACAAGACAGTGGAAAAGGAACCATCACAGATGAATCAAATACACAGAAAGCTCAGGCAGGCAGATACCATTTCTCACTTACCAAATTAATAACTGAGTTCTTGCTTTTTATGCTATTATATAATAACAACTCTTTAAATATTCTGGACGTAAGGTATTACATTGTGTTTTTTTTAAATAGTATAAAAAGTTATTACTAACAAGCTGAGAATTTAAAAAACAAGGCAGGCTGGCTGGACTCACTCTGGACTCTATCCTCTCCCTCTGAGGCACTTCCTCACTGCCCCAAACTCACTAGCTTCCTCCTGCCTTCAGAGCCAGCATTGCCACTGCCCACAAGCTGTGATTTTATAGCTATCTAGGTGATTGATTGACATCTGTCTCCTTGACTAGAATTTAAGTTCTACGCGGACAGGAATAGTGTCTGCTTTTTCTACTCCTTGTATTCCTGGTGCCTAGCACAGGCCCAGGCACGTAGTAGACATTCTATAAATATTCATTACATGAATGAACAAATGAATGAATAAACCCTCAAACCTCTTCCCTATGATGGACACGCAGATCCCCCTTCTCTATTTTTCTGTTTTCAGCCTACTGAATTAAAATTCTTTTAGTAGGAAATTTGGAGAGGAAAACATATACACAATTACAAAAGGTCTAATAAAGGTCTAACCTCAGTCCTGACTTGACTTCTCTTGTTTGGATCAGAGGCAGCTCAGTTTCAGAGTATGTGCATGTGTGTGTGTCTCTCCCAGGCTGTCCATCTCACGAATCCCCAGCTTGGGGAAGAGGAGAAATCCTTCCTTCCCTTGCCCTGGTCTCACCAGCAGCCCCCTGGTTAGCCAGAATTCTGGGCTGGTAAACAGCGAGGGCCTCACGAGCTGCCACAGAGCTTCTACGAGCAGCTGCCTTTCTGACACAACAGTCCCTCCTAGTTAGCAGAGGGGACTCTTTTTGCTTCACGTATCCAGGCTCCCTAAAGCCTTGTTTGTGGTCCCTAAAGTCCTTCTTTCCTGTCTAAGCTCAATTACAGATAATATCCTGCAGCTAGAAGATGTCTGGCATGTTCTGAGGTCACTAAAGTGATCAACTCCTGCTGCTTGGGAGTCTGCTTGCTGTCCTAAGATGTGAGCTCTCCCCAGCTCCACTTAGCAGCTACGTATGCTACACACATATCACAAGCTGGCAGGCAAAATTCCTGTCAAGAGAAGAAGGGTATTTTTCCAGAGAGTCTGGAATATAAGCTGAATGAAGCTGGTTTTTGGCAAGATCTTGTAACCTGAGATCACTTAAGTGCATTAGTGCCACTGCTGAGAGAAGAAAACCTGAAAAACTAATAAGGGCTATGTAGATTTTAGTGCATGTCTTTTCCAAGGATAGACCCTCTGTCCTGCTCAGTGAGAGGCTAGGTGAAGGCTTGAAAAAGAACTATAGTCTGGGAAGCAGGGGACCTGGGTGTCTGTCCTGGCTGTTAGGTTCTCATTCTGATTCTAGGAAGGTAATTTTCCATATTGCAGAATGTTAGAATTTCATCCTTTCCAAGATGTTGCAAAAATAAATGAAGAAATGTTTAGAATGTGTTCTCTTTAACCCTGTGATTTAAAGACACCCAGTAAATTCAGTCCTGGAATTAGCAATATTGCCCCAGGGAGCAGGTAAGAAGCTGTTCGCCTGACATTAGTTTTCATCACGAGGGACTCAGCTGCCAGATCATTCCTCTGCTGATGGCCAGGGCAGCTCAGACCAGCTTGGGTTTCTCCTGCCTCCCCTGGCCTAGGGACCTTCCTGCAGATGGCGGGAGGATCCATCCAATGGTTAGCCACAAATGGGGACAGATGGGAATAATTTTATTCTGGCTGGCACCAATTTCCCAAACAGGGAAGAGCTCTTCACAACCAAGGAAAATGAGACACTAGCGGACATTGTTGGTCAAAGGGTTGGGTGAGGCTTTTCCTCACTGTACCTTTTTCCCTCCAGGATAAAGAAATACCTGCTTACTCTAGGAACCTCATTCGGTCAACCTAAAGATGGAAGTGAGGGATTTCCTAGGGCTCTCTAAGAGAAGACTGCAGTATAAAGTGGAGATTCAAGAGCAGCCTAGGACACATTTGTCTTGGGGACAAAGAATTGGGAAAGTGATGTTCACCTGTTCCCCACCTACTCTCCCCACCTATTCCCTCCCTTCTACACCCCATCCAGGTCCCAGCTCCACCTCTGGACAGCAAAGAAACTGAGATACAAGGTTGTATGGGAACTATTGTGGGAAACAAGGGATAAAGGTGACAAACCAAGCCTGAAGTGCTGTTCATTAGCA